TATGTAAATATGTATGCATGTAAATATGTATGTATGTAAAATGTAAAAGTTTTAGGTATGTAAATATTAGCAAAATATTACAACTTACAAAAAGTTACATACTTATAGAAAGTTGTAAGTATGTAAATATTAGCAAAATAAGAGCTACCTCTAGGTAAGTTGACTTTATGTTTTATACTTATGTTTTACATTTTTAAATTTATGCTTAACATTTAGAAAGTGTTAAAGAAATCAGTGTACCTTTAAGGAAAAAAAAATTAGACATGAAATTATATCCATATTTATAAAAGAAAATGTAAAACTGGGAAAATACTGTGATACGTTTAAAATACCAACGGTTTAAAAAATTGATGTATCTCGCTGTGTATTACAACTTAATGTGGCAATGGATTAAATGGCAATCACTTCTCTCAGTGACTCAGTTTTCTTTTATCTGCAAAGTCCAGGATATACTTGTTCTTTCCACCTTATGGGATTGTCATTGTGGGGATCAAATGGGGTTGTATGTTTGCAAGCCACTGAAAACCATACCCACACACACACACAAAAAACCTATCGATATAAAGTCATGATATTGTTAAAATCATCTCTTTTCCTCCCTTTTGAAATGCTTGTAAATTTCAATTCAATGTCTAAGAGCTGGTTAGCTTCTAAATCTGATGTGTGGCACATTTACTGGGATCTCTGTGGGTCTTCTATGCATCCCGGTGATACAGTATCTGCTGGTCCTGTGATCACCATTTCTCACCAAGTAATGTAACTCTGTGTATAAAGATATCACTACCAAAAAGTTTATTAAGTGTCGTCTGTAGTTGCGAAAAGTTAGAGAGACCTAAATGTCCACTTAGAGGGGCTTCGTTACATACATTAGGCTGCGCTTATGCAATGAAATACTCTCCAAAAATTAAATATGATGCACCAATGTTTTTATTAATATAAGATATTAATGATATGTTGGTAAGTGGAAAAAACACACCATCAAAGAGTAAAAAATATGCATGTAAAATATATGCAAATATATTCAAAGAAAGGTGTTAAGAATATATGAGAATGCTGGGGTGTCAGAAAAATTAGTCTATTTTCTGATACTTCTGAAAATAGCATTTATCAATTTTATAAATCGTATATTTTAAAAACTATCTAGATTTCCAGCTGATATAATTCTCTGTCTAGTTTGATTACAAAGCCAAAGTGATTAAAGAGCAGAAAAATTAGAAACAGATACCCACTTGCCAACAGCCACTTTTCCCTTACTTACTCACTTGTTTTTTGAGATGGAGTCTGGCTCTGTCACCCAGGCTGGAGTGCAGGGTCGCAATCTCGGGTCACTGCAACCTCCACCTTCCAGGCTCAACCTCTCAAGTGGCTGGGATTATAGGCATGTGCCACTCTGCTGGCTAATTTTTGTCCTTTTAGTAGAGACGGGGTTTCCCTGTGTTGGCCGGGCTTATCTCGAATTCCTGACCTCAAGTGATCCAACTGCCTGGGCCTCCCCAAGTGTTGGCATTACAGGTGTGAGCCCGTACTCTAAGTATCTACTTACACATAAAATGAGAGGACCATAAACACAGATGCCTGCAATATTGAATCAACATCAGATTCGGAGTTGTTGAGCGAAGATATCAGAACTTTACAAAAACAAACTATCAGTCATCATTTCTTCAAAGATTTCCTGCAATTTTCAGCAAGAAGTAGATAAAATAGAGTCACGTGTCCAAATTTTCTATGCTTTTATTTATGCAGAAATAAACATGGGTATTCAACCCTAGGCAGTGCACTGATGTCACAGAGGGAGCTTTTTAAAAACAGCATGCTGTGGCTCCTCCCCGGGAAATCTTGATTCAATAGGTTTCTGTGGGAACTGGAAGTCTAATGTAAGTAACTCCACAGGTGATTCTGACGCAGAGCTGATTTTGGTAACTATTAATAGTAATTTAATGCAATGCCCACCAGATGGCACTCATGCTCCAAGAATAGAAAGGCAAGTCGGAAAACTGCTCAATCTGTTAAAGGCTGTGCTTTGTACTCATGTGCATGTGTCCGCCTTTAAAAGCCTACACTAGGCCGGACGCGGTGGCGCACGCCTGTAATCCCAACACTTTGGGAAGCTGAGGTGGGAGGATCACCTGAGGTCAGGAGTTCAAGGCCAGCCTGGCCAACATAGCGAAACTCCGTCTCTACTAAAAGTACAAAAATTAGCTGGGCATGATGGCAGGCGCCTGTAATCCCAGCTACTCACAAGGCTGAGGCAGGATAATTGCTTGAACCCGGGAGGCGGAAGTTGCAGTGAGCTGAGATTGCACCCCTGCACTCCAGCCTGAGTGACAAGAGCGAGACACTGTCTCAAAAAAAAAAAAAAAGTCTACATTAAGTGACTCTCATTGTCTAAAAATAACAAATGGGAATATAAAATGTTTGTTCTACTCACGCCTCTGCAGTATGGTCCATAGGATGGAGAGCTGACATTGGGCCCATCGTAGTGTGAGATTGTTCTGGACACGGTCTCCTGGATCGTCAATGCTAATGAAGTAAAAGTTGACGGTGAGAAGCCTTCCAGCAGGAGCTAACAGGGCTCACTCGCAGTGCTTGTTGTTTGGATACATGCCTGGATAGCCGGGGCTGGTGAATGAGCCTCTGTCTCCATAAAAACACACATTTCCTTGCACATCCTGGAAGGAAAACAGGACAGGAAGTTTGATTCAACAATGTATAAACCCCCATTCGGTCTGGCTTGTTAGGTAATAAGACTTTATTTTCTTAAGGTGCTGAGACTCTTTGCAAGAATAATGGGGGCAGAAACCCCTTTTCCTGTTCCTCTTCATTGGACTACACCCTTTCTCCTCCCTTCCCCTCTCTTCCCATCGCCCTCCACCTCTTCCATCCTCAACACACATGCCTTTGACTGCATATCATGACCCAGGGACAAGTTCCTCCAGGACTGTACTTTGAAAATTGGGGGTTGAGAGCAGAATGGGGGAAAAAAAAAAAAAAAAACTTGATAAAGTAACTGCGGGAGAAAATCAAGTTGTTGTCTCTGTGCTTTCGATGGGGCAGAGATGTTTGCATGCCCTGAGTTGATGCTAATGATGTGAGTGAAGTAAAATTAGAGGTAAAATTCAGCGCTAAACAGGGAGTGTGTTACTGTAGGTGGTGGCAGGAATGACTTCATTATAAAAGTGACTTTACCAGCCTAATAACGGACATACTTAAGGTCGACTACTTCCAGTTTTGGTGTTAATTTGTTCAATTTGTTAATCTGTATATGAAGGCTGTCATGATTTAGACTACATATAGACTACATATCTGTGGAGATCCAGATCGCCTCCAGGACAGGAAGAAGCTGGCATAGTTACAGAGCACCTGGCTGGGCCTCTGACCACCGAGGTCTAGTCCCACCTCCACCTCAGTCTAGCGGAGCACTTTGGGCAACTCATGAATCTTGGTGGGGGTTTTTTTTTTGTTTTTTTGGTTTTTTTTTTTGTTGTTTTCGTTATTTTCTGTTTGTGTTTGGACTCTGGGACTGAGGTTGATCGCGCTCGTAGTCTCACCATGGCTGTGGCGCTGCGCCAGTGGCCCGGTCTATGTAGCTGCAAGTTCCGCGCCTGGCCGGGCTCTATGCGGGCAATTACTCTTGCCTAAGTCTCGGACCTACGACGAGTAGCTGCGGCGGGCTACGGCAGACGCGCCCCTTGCGCGGTCTCGGAGCGTGTAATCGCTGTCTTTTTTTTTTGTGGGTTTTTGTTTAGAGCGGTGAGGCGTGGAGGGCGGTCATCACGTGGTGGGTTTAGGACGAGGTATTCGAGGGGGTGGGTCGATTTAAACTGACTCTCGCTGATCGCCCGTCTCGTTCTCACAAAAGTGCTGGGGGTTACGGGCTGGAGCACCGCCGGACAACACAACAAATGCCCCCGCGGCCGGGTTTTTTTTTTTTTTTGCGGATGGAGTCTTTGTCTGTGCCCGGCTGGAAAGTTTGCACGGCTGGTCGGAGATTCGCTTATTATGCTCTGTCTCCCAGGTTCAGTTGTTCTCCAGTCTCCAGGCCTCCCGCGTAGCTGGGTTACAGGCATTGCGCACCAATGCCGTATTATTTTGTATTTTTTAGTGGATTTCCAATGTGGCCCAGGCTGGTCTGGAAAAACTCCTGACCCCTCAAGGTGACCCACCCACCTGGCTCCCGGGAATTCAAGTTGTGCATACATCACCGCCTTGTTGGTGTTTTATTTCCTGATTAGGCTGATAAATTTCAGATTGGAGTCTATGTATCTTCCTTTGCGGCTGCCAGATTCGATTTACATGTTATCTTATGACCAATTTCTTTAGACTTATTTAAAGTGATTTCTGTTTTATCTTTTTATTTTGAAGGTATTTTGGTTATTTCAGGCATTTCTAAGGGTGTTCCTCCTTTTGCATTGAAATGGATTGAATGGGAACTTAATTTTCTTTGCTGTGTTGATAAAAAAAAAGTGAAACCGAAATGTGAGAGCTACTTATACCTTAAAAAGCGAATTTTCTCTCCGGAGCTGCCCAAGAACTGTCAGGGCGATGCGAGAGCACACCACTCTTATATATGCCGGCATGTGTTTATCAGTTGGGATTTTCTGGTATTTGTTCCTGGATTCTCAAGAACTCCTTGATTTGCGTGAACCAAAAGCCAAAAGTCTAACAATTGAATTTCAAAAGAAGATTTTTATCTTATCCTGCGTGATATATGCTTCATTATGGATTTATTTTCTTTTATACCCCGGGAAATATGAATAAATGGCTAGATTTAAATTAATGTTGGGCCAGGGTGTGGGTGGCTCATGCTGCTATCCGCATGAGGAACCATGGTTGGTCCCCTGACGGTCAGGCTTCAACAGCCTGGGCTCAACATGGCGGAATCCATTCTTCTAAAATATGAAATCAGCATTGGACTTTGGTGGCGTGCGCCTGTAATCTCAGCTACTCGGGAGGCTGAGGTGGGAGAATCACTTGAACCCAGGAGGCGGAGTTTGCAGTGAGCTAAGATCGTGCCACTGCACTCCAGCCTGGGTGACAGAGCGAAACTCCATCTCAACAACAACAACAAAAAGGTAATGTGTACCTTCATTGTTAAAAATCTCTATTCTTAACATGAATTAATCAGGTACACAGGTAGCTAAAAATATAAGGTTACTTTGCCTTTTTCTATTAGACACCTTATGTTTTTCTCACCTACATTGCTTTCCCATACAAAATGCAAATGTCTTACCAGTGGGTGATGAGGTACAGATGATTTCATATCCACGATTGAAAATTACACTATCACTCTTAAATTGTAGGTATAGTTCATTATTTTGAGAGAAGACGGGGTTTGGCAGCAGAGTTCCACAGTACTTGCCCAGTAATGGTGAATTGCTGTTACTTCCATTTCTCACCCTTAGGAAGGAGTCATTCATTATTAAACTTACACTTTCTTCTCCAATGTATATACATTACAATGTGAGACAGTTTGAATGATGACACTTTCGGAAAAGCTTTGTCTTCTTATATACCTAAGAATGAAGGGTTTTCTGAAAATACATGCAGAAGTCACCTTCACTTGCAAAGGGGAAAAATGTTCCATGTGTAGATCAAAAAACATGTGTATTTGGATTCAAAAATATCTGTTAACCTACAGCAATTAAAACATCAGACTGCTTTTTTTTATACAATAGTTTGTGCTATGATCCTGCAACCTTTGCTTTTAGGGAAACATTTGGAAGAATGTAGGTAAAGTGAATTTTTAAAGGGTAGGGATGGGTGGGGGCAATGTTGCCTGCCCTGTTTCCAGTCAACTATTATACGTTTTTCATAGTGTGTGTGTGTCACGGGTTTCCCATTGATAATTACTCGACTGTAAAGGAGCTATGAAAAAAATACAGTGCAAAGTATAATAAAGTTCAGAACAAAAGGAATTTCTGTACGGGTGAAGGACAGAATTATAAATCTGTACAACTTCTGACTGTTGTTAAATGTGTTTTAAAAACACATTTCGAGGCCTTGTTGCTTTTTTGTTTCAACTCCTCATTTTTGAGTAGACACATATAAAAACAGGAAATGAGTTGGTGTTTTGGGAGAAGAGAGAACCACACTGTGAATTCAACCACTTTCTGTCCCTCAGCCTGGCTCCTACCCTGCATTCACAACCAGCCCTGCTTCCAGGAGGGCTCTCGACGCTTCTTAAGGAAATGTTACACAGGCAATGTATGTTGGAACCAGCCTGACACGTAGAAATGCTGATTTTACTGATCTATGTATTCGTTTTTTGGAAGTTCCTGTCTTCCATTTGTAATTCCATGGTTTAAAATTTGTTTAATTGCTGGTATCTTAAGTCACAGAATCAAGACAGTCTGATCTTGCTGGGCTGTGTTGATCAGGGGAGATTCCTTTTAGGTCTATGTAGTAGCCCATGGGAGAGAATAATGCCTTTCTAGTGCTTCAGGGATTATTCTGCTAAGTGTTTAAACAAAGTAGAGTTGCCATGACAGAGTAGCCAGTTATCCACTCGTAGATGGCAGGGCTGTCATATTTAAGACCTGCCACCACTATACTCTTGAGTTTGGGTGTTTTAACCTAGGGGTCCTCTTTTAAAATGGTGTTGCTCTGAGAGGAGCAGCAAGATACTAATTTCCACTGACACTGCCGATAACTTGTCTTATTCACTTTCCTCTCCTAGGAGGAACGGGGCCACCGAGAGCAGCAGGCATCCCTGGGATATCAGAGGATCCTGAAAGGGGAGGTGAAGGCATGAAAACAATCGCAGATTCCAGGCATGGTCTAGAGCTCGGCCCTCGCTTGGTAGTAACACAGAATCCTCAGTCAGACATTTCCGTTCCCACTGCAGTTCACAAGAATGGAATGCTGAGGCTTCCTGGTTCAGCTGCCAAGAAACTATGCCCACAGTCTTCCCACTGAGAGCCAGACAGAGCTACATTTTACAGGCCTAAGCTGTGGTTTCCTTTCTTTGCTTATGGGACAGGAAGTTTCAGATCCATTCTATGGAGTAAGGAAGGACAGCGAGGAGGAATAGTTCTCACTCTCCATGGCTGGAAAGCAAAGCTTTGCTTCCCAGCATCTATCAGGCAAATGGCAAATGTTGACTCTGATCAATAATGGTCCATTCAAGCTGGAGTGAGTTAAGAGTTAGTTGCACTGTGACTCCAACCTAACGGGTTTATTCCATCTTTCCTCCAGATCCCACTCCCCTCATTCTTTCTGCTTTATGCTTCATATAAATATATGAATCTCCATGGTGACAGAGGTACATAGGTCCAAGTTGAATAACTTGACTGGCACAAAGAATACTGTGTTTGTCTTTTCGTTTCCTCCCTGCTACATACATCTTTTGGTTTCCTATCATGTGAATATTCTTTTAGAAAAGGCATGAGCTTACTCTGAGTCTTATTTATGGTGCTACATGTTAAGGCTATTGATTAATAAAGGATTTAGATGAATTCCAAAGGGGAGAGCTTTCCAGGATGATAAAACTCTGCATCAGGAATCATGTTGAAGCTAAACCCATAGGCAAAGACCATGTGCTGGAACACCCTTCCTCACCAGGCTGGGCAGAAGGTGACAGCAGCTCTAGAAGTCAAATCAGATGAGGTGGGTTGCAGGCGAGAAAATATGTTTTGTTGGAAACAAAAGCTGCAGCTACCAAGAAACTAGCAGCTGAACAGAAGCCCACTGGAAAGAATCCTCCCACAGAAGGAAAGGCACCTGCTGTATACACTGGTACAATTACATATGCTACAAAGATCAAATCATCTTGGGCAGCTTATTTTGAATGAAGACCTGATCAAAGAGGCAGCGAGAAAAAACATAATAAAAAATACAACTCCAGATCAGGTGTAGCGGAACAAGCAAACTTTTTGGAAACCTTACTGAAGTCTCTTGTATGGTGAAACAAAGCCAATTTAGAGAGCATCAGGATGAGGTTTAGATTTAAATTCCACTCTCAGAGGAACTCAGCATCCTTATTCCTTTGGGTCTTAGGTTCCACCTGAGTTTATTTCCTAAGGATGAATGCATTTTCAACAGGGCTTGCAAAGGTCACAACCCCATGAGCTCTGGGGTTTTTCTGGCAAAACGCAGGTGCTGAGTTCCACACACTGGGTCTGCATCAGATGAGGCTTATTCAGACCATCTCCTGCCTATGAGTGATGATATTCATGTTCCATCTCACATTCCCAATGCAGGTGATGGGGCAGAAAGAGCACAGAGGGAGCTCATCGGGGGCTCTGGAGGACTCCAAAGGTTCAGGCCCACAAGGGGCGTGGCTCTGCCTGATCCAGGCTCAAGGGGGCCTTCTCTCTCACTGTGTCCTGGGGTGGGAGTGGAGGGCGGATGGGTGGAGGGTGGGCAAACAGCAAAGTCACTTCTGTGTCCAAATTAGAGCTCTGGAGTTGTAGTGAAGAAAGGACAGACCATACCTCCTGCAACCAGGGAGCACTTATTCAAGGAAACACTTGTCTTTAGAGGATGCTGATGATGCCTCAAACTTACTGTAGGTGAGCTATTTAGTATCATTCAGTTTCATTTTACAGAATCAGCATATTGTTCTTAGACTTTCTTCTGATCCTTTTAGGTCTCAACTTACATATTGCCCTATTAAAGAAGCCGTCTAGTTCCCAGACTGAGTTAGGAACCCCTACCCCTGCTGGACTCAGTTAGTCCTTTCCACATTGTGCTGTAAGTGGCTATACCCCATCTGTCCTTCCCACCAGATTAGGAGTCTTCCGAGGGCCCTAAGGTTCCCAATTTCCAGTGTTTGGGACTGGTGCTCTGTAAATGTTTAGGGAATTAAAAGGTAATGAACAAATTAATGAAACAAATAAGAATCATAGAGTATTAGCAGCACTAGAGAAAAGGTGTAAAATCTTAAGTGATCCATCATCTTTTAAATAATTCATTTAAATGATATTCAAATGTGTATTACCTCCAAGAAATCGTTTCTGCATTCAACTGAGTTCTTAATGCCAAACAAATGAAAAAAGAGGGAAATGGTGTGGTTCTGGGGGGGCTGTGAGAGTAATGGTGCAATCCATGTCATTGTCATAGTTATCTGGCCATCCAGGACTCCTCAGGTTGCCAAAAGCCTTGTGATAGTCTCTGTTGCAATCTTAGAGGAAAAATATGCATAGTTAATGTATGCATTCCCATATTCAGTGCTCTTTCGACTTCACAGGAATAATTCAAAAAGATCATTGCATATGAACAAACTTTAGAAAAAAGTAATCCAGCTTCTTTGTTTACCTTTGAGACGATTGAGATCCTGAGCAGTGAAGTGAATTTCAAGCAGCACACACAGATGCAATGCAGCGGCTGTTCACACAAACACCCCTACGGGAAGCATGACACAGGAGCCTTCTCCTTTAAAGAGGAATACTCGAGGATCCTTTGAACTTTTCTGATCACATTGAGGTGGAAGTGGCTAGCATTCAGACTCTCTTTTAGGACAAGAACGCTACCTCCAAAACAGAGTTTTGCACAAGGATTTTAAATCCATTGGTGAGTTATTTGTGGGAAATCGTTCTTTACCTTTTTTTTTTTTTGGTAAAATAAATATCAAAAGTACTTTTGTTTGTTTAACCAAAGGCAGCTTTCATTTGAATTAATTCAAAATAAATATTAAATAAAGTGTTCTGTGAAAATAAACTTCTCAGTGATAATAATCAGGTAACTCTTTCAAGGCTTTTTGATTTTTTTTTAATTAAAAAGTAAACTTTAATGTCGAAAATGCAAACTTGGGGAAGACAGAAAAGATCACACATAAGGCTGTCACTTCACACTTGGAAGGCTGCACAGCGGCTGGGCAGAGGTGCTCCTCGCTTCCCAGATGGGGAGGCGACTGGGCAAGGCTTTTTGATTTTTACAAAAATAATTTTCTAAGATTTTCAACTTTGTGAAAATATTAAAAGCCTCTGAAATATAAACTTCAAATGGGTAAATTGTATGATATGAGAATTATATTTTGATAAAGCTCTTGTAAATATACATTTATTTCTTGTAAATAAGTATGTATATTCAGTGTGGTTAAGTGGATACATTAACAAAATAACTGGTATATTTTTAAAATCAACTACATAGATGTTGAAGAAAATGCTAGCATTCTAAGCATCTTGGTTAGTGTTGTATTCTCTTTACCTCTTTAAAAACCAACTTTAGTAATTTGCTAAATTGGGCCTTTGTTCTAGTTAAGAGATAGGTATGGTTTTTGTTAACAAATCCTAATTTACTCACAGGAGTCAATTCTAGAAATAATTGCAACTATTCTAGGAATAATTGTAATGATGGCAGCTTTTCTGAATAAAAGATGAAGTTCCAGGACTCACCTGCTATCTGATAGGTGAAACTCATTCTAGAATTTCTGTTTAAAACTCCAGATTTAAAATGACAATTGCAGTACTCATAGAAGAATAAAACACTGGCACAGCTGAAGCATTTCTGCCACACAACTGAATTCTTGAATTTCCATGACCCTGAAATGAAATGGAAGCCAAATCATGTTAGATTTATTTTAGAAGAGAACAGCATAACAGAAATTAAACTGCATATAAAAGTATGGTTTAAATATTTAACCATGGAAATCAGCTCTGTTGTTGGAAGTGCTCTGCAAGAAGACTCACGTTGGCCTTGGAACTGACATAAGTGCACCTTCCCAGAGGAGAGTGCGGAGGGGAGGCAAAGTTTCTGCTAAAACCACAGACACTTCCCTGCTGAAAACAAGACCCCTCCCCTTTCATGCGACTTCCTAGCTGAGGCCTGTGCCATTGCTCTGAGTGTCACCAGGCTGTTTGAGAGCTCACTGGATTTCTCCTCCTGGGGCTTTTGCCATTCCTAAGCTCCATGAGACTAACAACCATCATTGCCCTGATCCAGCCCTTGCTACCCCTTAGCAAATCTAATCAGAGCCTTTGGTTCCACTGTACATCCCCAAGCCAGCCAGGTCCTATAATGAGGTCCCGGTTCCCCTTTGTAACACTTGGGCAGCCCTCATTACCTCTCAAAAGCCTGGAGTAAATGCGGTTGAATGCCCATCAGTTCTTGCATAAAAACAAGTTGTACCAAAGTCAGGGTATTTGCAGCCTCCCTGTCTCAAGTATGTCTCTAATATCTGCAGTCCTTCGGAACCTACTGAAAGACCCCACCACCTCTGCTTGCAAACTCCTCTTAGTGCTTGGGACTTCCACTCCTCCTCCCCACCGTCTCCTGCTCTTGGTCCTTATCTAACTTTACTGTATCTTGTGAACTTTAACTGCACTGTCAATCATTCTCTGTATACATCTCCCACCTTTCCACTTTGTAGCCTTAGCAAAACCTGGTTCTCACCAGCCTCCTGGTAGAGGTCATTCTTTTCCCATGCTCCACAGTTCATTGAGTAGGAAGGGTGAGGGGCCAGCCCAGGGGGAAGGGAGGGATGCTCCACTTTCCTCACTGCAGCTTCCATCCTCGCCTCAAAGCTGGTTCGCCTTTGAGGGTCTCTACGTCTAGCCAAATATATTCTCGCCATTGTCATCACTCTCACTTACTTTTCTCCCGGTTACTTCCCTGCATTTATGAAAGACTTGAGGTGACTCAGCTCATAGTAATCTCCTGCCCCTGATTTCCTTTCTGGACCCTTAGAGGTTTCAGTGTTTTTACAGACAAGCCATTAAACACTCTCACTTTGTATTTCTTAACACCAGTGACTTCCATCTCTGTGTCTCTGTTCATCTCCAATGCCAGTTAGCTACTGTACATCCTCTATAACAGCCCTACACATCATTCTTTCATGATCTTCCAATTAGACCTGCTCTGTCTATTCTTGGATACTCTGAGAATGCCAGTTTCTCCTAGCTCATCCATCAACGTTTGTCTTTCCTCCCTACCTACCCAGTCTGAAACCCTTGATTGTTTCCTGTATTCATTCAGTTGAAAACATTATTCAGTCATGACAAACACTGGGTCTTACTTGCGGCCTCTCCAGCTGCTGTTATGTTCCAGCTGGTACCCAGTGCTCTGTAAGTGGCACTCGGTGCCCTGTGGAGTGGTCCACCATGATCCCCATTGTCTTAGCTTCATGAAGCAGCGGCAAATTGAAAGAGCTTTCACCCAAAGGGCCTTGTTCCACTTGGCTCTAAATCCTTCCAGTAAGGGTACCGCTGGGTAATGGGGATTTTGTCCTGAAAACCATTACCAACAGAATGATGATAATCTAGCATCTTGTCCACCTTGAGAGCTTGGGAGCTCATCTCAGTGTCTATGCTTTGCACAAAACTGAGCAAGTCCAGGGCCTATTCAGCTGCCAGCACATCTCCTAACTCTCCACATTGGAGTCAGACAAACGGGACTTTTCTCTCCCCAGCAAGACCACGTGAGAAGCAGGGGACCCCAGATTTATAATGAAGACGACCCTGAAAACTCAGAAGACAACAAATGGGACTCCACTATTCCAGCACATGGGGCTTGAACATGACATTCTTGGAATGAACTGGTGAGGGTTAGTTCCTCCCCCAACTACAGAAAGACAATCCAGGTATTCTCACATGTTCTCCCTGGTATCCATCCACAGTTTAGGCCCTCTCCCTTTACATATTTTCCCTGGATACATCTCATTCTTCTCCATTATTTCCAATTACCGTATCAGATAATGATGATTGCCCCCACCAAAACAAATGTTGGCCTTTCAAATCCCCTTTGGTCCACCTATTCTCCCAACAATATCCCCCCCCCAGAGAAATGCAGCACCAGTTTTTGTTAAGCAAAAATGCTTTCTTTCTTCATTTCCTTTCTTTTCTTTCTTTCTTTCTTTCTGTTCTTCCCTTTCTTCGTGCTTTTCTTTTTAGTTTTTTTTTTCTTTCTTTCTTTTCCTTCCTTCCTTCCTTCCTTCCTTCCTTCCTTCCTTCCTTCCTTCCTTCCTTCCTTCCTTCCTTCTTTTCTTTCTTGTTGCTGTCATTGTTGAGACGAAGTCTTGGTCTGTCACCCAGGCTGGAGTGCAGTGGCACAATCTCGGCTCACTGCAACCTCTGCATCCCGGGTTCAAGCAATTATCCTGCCTCAGCCTCCCGAGTAGTGGGGCTTATAGGCACACACCACTGAACTGGGCTAATTTTTTGTATTTTTAGTAGAGACAGGATTTCGTCACATTGGCCAGGCTAGTCTTGAACTCCTGACCTCAGTTAATCCACCTGCCTCGGCCTCCCAAAGTGCTAGAATTACAGCATGAGCCACCGCGCCCGGCCCTTTTCTTTTTATCTCTCTTACATTACCATGAATATAGACCTCTGAAACTGGTGCCAAATGGCCTCTTCACTGATTCTCTTGTGTTCTGTATTGACCCTTTCAACTCAGCCTATAAATAAATCCTACTAACTATATGTATTTCTGCAAGCATGGTCCATGGAGCTCTGGTATTGGCACCAAAACACCAGAGATGTTTGTCAAAAATTCAGATAAATGGGTGTTATAACTCAGTCTCTGAGGGTGGGCCAGGGAGGATGCAGTTTTAAGATGCATCTTAATGCATTCTTAGGCACGTGAAGCTTCGAGAGCTCTGGACCTACAGGACCAAGTTCAAGTTTCTTGACACACCTGATTGGAGGGCTTTGTGTACAGATGAAAAGCACATTAAACTGGAAGTAACTAAGAAAATTATTTAATCATGGCCTCATTATTTCAAGTGTTTTGCAAATGCTGGTGAAAAGGTCACTAGATGCGACTGTCATTCATCCTATAATTGTTACTTGTGGCGAGTCCTGAAGCTCTAAGTAATTCTGCATGCAGTCTTACAAGCTCACACAGTTAGCTTGACCTGCTGATGTGGAGGAGTGTGAAAGACCCAAGTTCAGATGGAAAATGGGACCTCTGGGTCTGATGAATTGGGTGATGAAATATTTTATGGGGTCCAAGTTGCATTGTATGTTCCACCACAAGGCACTGGGAAGAAAAAGCAACACAGGAGACATTTTATTCATGTCTCATCTCAGGCAATCTTTAAAATTCTGTCTTCTCTGTCTCCCACCCCAGGGGAGCTATATTTTTATCATTCCATTAAGAATTGGGGGTTTATATCCTTGACTAAAAATTGTATCAGATTCGTACCACAGATTAAACATAGAGTGAATAATATGGTATTTAGTAATTGACATTGAGTTTAGATAGTAATTGACATTGAGTTTAGTAATTAACATTGAAATTTCAATATAATAAGCAGGGCATTCTTTTCAGTGCATGAATACATGTGTTATTTCATAACATATAAAAATGCTTCTATTTACTCACTGTCCATGATGGTGTATGTAGCATTAAATCCTTCCCTTTCTAATGTTAAGTCACTGACGAATTGAACCATAAGGAAGTTACCAGAATAGATAAAAAGAGCAGGTACGGCGGAACGACAAAACGTTCCAGCCAAGTTAGCATTTTCATTAACCCCATAATATAACTGAAAAGAAAAATAATTCATTCCTTCTCCATTATTTACAAAAAAGTTGCATCTTTCACACTAAATTGGATGCGAAGTCGCAATAGGTCACGATTAAACATTTTTACATTGATGTTCTTTGAGGTGGTCTTAATTTAGGAACAGAATTATAATTGGATTGATTATATTATGACTTTCAGTAAAGACCTGGTATGATGCCTAACATTTTTTTCCTGTTTGAGAAAGTAATCTGTGGTTTTAAAAAGAATGTGTCGTGAGAGTCCATTCACCCACTGCTACCTTAACCACTGCACCTACTAACACTCTGGCCCCAGCTGCTCTGATCTTTTGCCTAGATGATCACTGAGCCTCCCACGAAGTCCCTGATTCTGCTCTTGTTCTTCTTTACTCTATTCTCAAAATGTCTTTAAGAGGATACTGTTAAAATGTAAGTCAGACCAGGTCCACTGCTCTACTGAAACCCTCCTAACTGCCTCCCATCCACTCAAAAGAACAGCCAAAGCCATCACAATGGCCGTCTCTCTTCCTCTGCCACCCCTGACCTTTCTGATCTAATTTCTTATTGTCTCCACTTTGTTCATTTTGCTTCTTGAGTGAAACCAGGCTTGCTTCTGCTTCTTGGGTATGGCCTTTGCCTGGAATGCTCTTCCCTGTATATCCACATCATTTGTCTTCTTACATTCCTTCAGGTCTCAGATATCCCCAACTTGGCCAGCGTGGTGGTACACGCCTGTAATCCCAGCTACTCAGGAGACTGAGGCAGGATAATCGCTTAAATCTAGGAGGTAGAGGTTACAGTGAGCTGAGTTTGTGCCACTGCACTCCACCCTGAGTGACGAACCAAGACTCTCTCCAAAAAAAAACTCCAAAAAAAAAAAAAAAAAAAAAAGAAGATAGCCCCAACTCTCAATAAGGTCTTCCTTGTGTAAACTCTCCTAACATTCCCATTCCCATCTCCTTTCCTGCTTGACTTTTCTCCACAGCAAGTATTACCTTCTACTATATACTACATATTTAACTTTTTTTTTCTTTTTTTTGAGACAAGGTCTCACTCTGTTGTCCAGGCTGGAGTGCAGTGCTGCACTCACAGCTCACTGCAGCCTTGAACTTCTGGGCTCAAGTGATCCTCCCACCTCAGCCTCCTAAGTACCTGGGACTACAGGTGCATGCCACTATGCATAGCTAATAAAAGAAAAATTTTAGAGATGTGGTCTTGTTATGTTGCCCAGGCTAACTTGTTTATTTCATTGTCTTTCCCGCTGAAGAGAATACAAGTTCCATGAATGCACAGATTACTGTTCTGCTCACTGCCATGTTCCCAGTTTTTAGGTGTCTGCACATGAGAGGCACTCAATAAATATCTAATAAATAAATAAACAAGTGCTTTGATTCCTCTCTTCCACAAGCCCTCCCAAAACTGTTCTCCCTGAGGCTTCTTTAGCTCAATGTTTCAAGCCTACAACTTCAGTCATCTCTGATTCCTCTCTCTCTCTTCACTCCACATCCACTCCATTCTACCTTCAAAATATATCTCAGAGGGCTCCATCTCCAGGTGACCACCATTGTCCTTCACCTGTTCCCACTGAAACATCTTCTTAATAGACCTAATTCCGGAGCAGCCGTAGTGTTCTCCACTGAACTGCCTGCATGTCTGCAAATTCCAATGAGATGATGCTCCTGCTCTGACGAAAATGCTCCAGCAGGTCCCCATTGCACCTAAAGTAAAATTTCAGCTCCTTCCCACAGTCTCCAAGCCCCAGCTGCTCTGACCTGTGCCTCCTTCCCAGGTCGCCTGCACCTCACTGCTGGTTACACTTCCTTCATCCCAGGAGGACTCCTGCCCATGGGCCTGCTCTTGCAGCTCTTGCTGCCGGGAGACGTCTTTCCTCAGCTGAAGCTGAACCCGCACAGCTAAGGACTCCCTGTCATGGGCCGTCACCTCATATGTCACCTCCTCAGAGAAGCCCGTGCTAGTGAATGTTGCCCTCTCCCAGCAACATCCTGTTTTATTTTCCTATTATAATCAAAACTGATCTTATTTATTGTTTATTTGCTTTGTCCGGTCTCTTTCACAACAAGCATGTAAGTCCCACGGGTGGGGAGAGAGAGACTCTGTCTGACTTCTTCACTGTGGTGTCACCAGCACCCAGAACAATTCCCAGCTGTGGTAGCCTTCTAGAAACATCCTTTGAAAGAGGGGATGCTTGGATTTCTCTCAAACACATAACTAGGAAATATTTGTTTTCTTCTGAGTAATCTTCATTGTATTTACAAATGAGTATCTGTGTGTATCTAACTCCAAATATTAAATTCATAACAGAGCTATGATGTGCTCAAGGCTGCAGAACAGCCATGACCATGACCACTGACATTATTCTAAAGTGCTAGGATTATATAAGACAGGAATGGCTAAAACCAGTCATTTTGAAAGAAAAAGAAATGCACCACTAGATGGCACCGTCTTTCCAACTTAAACATGATTTTAGTTAATTCAGAATCCAAAGAAACTTGAGCTTTCCAATCTTCACCCCCTTGTTTCACGGAAGAGCACATTTGCCAAGTTTTAGATAATGCACTTTTTCTGGTAAGCAAGTTAAAATTTCATGATAATCATTGCTGTCTTTATGATCATGTTTATATTAGCAAGCTTTTTTTTTTGACACGGGGTCTTGCCCTGTTGCCCAGGCTGGAGTACAATGGTGTGATCTTGGCTCACTGCAACCTCCACCTCCTGGGTTCAAATGATTCTCCAGCCTCAGCCTCCCAAGTAGCTAGGATTACAGGCACCCACCACCACACCCAGGTTTAAGTTTTGTATTTTTAGTAGAGACGGGGTTTCACTATGTTGGCCAGGCTGGTCTCCAACTCCTCACCTCGTGATCCACTCACCTCGGCCTCCCAAAGTGCTGGGATTACAGGCATGAGCCACCACTCCCGGCCACAAGCATCTTTATTCTGGGACCTGTGTGCCAGGCCTCAGTGCTGGGTCCTGTGCATACAAGGATGTATAAAGCCCTATCTAGACCTTCAAGACATAGACCTCCTCATGAACAAAAGGGAGTAAAGGTCTATAAATTAAATATACATACACTTGTGTGTATATGCACATACACTATATATATACACATATAAATATATGTATGTATATAAATTATACACAAAATAGAGAAAAATAAGTGCTACAATGAAAAGAATGGAAGTGCATCATGAGAACCCACATGATGGAGACAGACATTTGGATTGGCCCTTAAATGTAAGTAGAGACCTTCCAGACCTCCAAAAGAGGAAGGGTCTCCCAGCCAGCCAGACATGAGTGCCAGGCCATGGAAGTGTGAAACACATGGCATGTGTCAACAACTTCTGACCCCCTTCACTGGGCCTGGAGGCTAGGGTGAGAGAACAGGAGAAGTGACGAAGTCCAACAAACAAAGCTGTGAAGTTCCATACATTTCATGCTAAGGAGTTTGGATCTGATCCTACATGATGTAAGCTCGGATCTGGGCTTTAAATGGATAACTGGTAAATGTGAAAGAAGGTATGAGGAAGAAGCCAGGGCTAGATGGAAAGAAATGACATATGTGCCTGGACCCGAGCTGGTGTTGGATTAGTTCATTCACTACCACAGTAACATTTCTCCTAAGTGAGCTGAAATAGCTTGTAGCCTCGGGATAACTGACATAGGAGGCTCTAGACTCCTGTGCGTCAAACCCAAGATCTCTATCTGCTCTCTTGTTCTCTGATAACACTAAGTCTCCACTACAGACTTTTGCCAGGTTGCCCTACAGTGCATTGCAGGGGGTGCCCTATACAATGATGAGGAGAGGGAATCATATATAAACCGGGATATAAATGGTGTCTTTATATCTACACCATCATACGCAGCTACGGGCTGCATTCTGGGAGTATGCATTTCCTAGCACAACTGCATTGGACCTGGAACTTGAATTATGTTCCAAGTCTTGTGGATGTGGGTAAGTGCTGAGAGGAATGTTATATTTTCTTAACTTTTAGAACTCTGATAGTTTTAGAATCTGCTAAAGATCCTGAAGGCATTGTACAAATAATTTAGTGGCAGGCAGGCTCTGCTACAACCACGGCAAGATCCCACACTTCACCCAGCTGTTGACTTGAGCAGTCAGAGAAACTGGGAAAGAAAAGTTTTGGATTTTAATTCCTATGAACTTTTAATGCACAAGGGCAATAGGCTTTGATATTGGACTGTAATTCTTTTCAAATTTAATAATTTTATACATTAATATCCTTAGGACTTTATCTTTTAATATTTCCCTGAGAATTTGGTCACAGGAAGATTTTGATATTCTTACTTGGAACATCTTAGAGTATCTTCATGAATTCTTTGATCTTGTTGCAGAACGTCTGATGGGGCCTGCCGGGCAACATGCCAGGGCATAATTTAGTATGGGAAGAAGAATAGAGAGTGACTTTTCAGGTTTGGGGCTAAACTCTGACTCATTTCAGAATCTTCTGGGGAAAAAAGTTATATTAGTCCCAATTGCCTCAGAAAAAAGCCACAAAGAAGCAATGATTAGAATCAGCTCTGCAAGTGCAGGAGTTTTCTTAGTATTGTTTTCTAAAATCTCAATGTTCTTTTCTAGTTGTTGGAGCAATGTCTAGAATAGAGCAGGTATACTAATTAACACTGATTGAATGAAAGAATAAATGAATAGTAGGTGCGACCTCATAGGGATAGGAACGTGATGCCTTCCATAGACTGCTGATCCTCTCCCCAGAGATGGACAGCACCTCCTTAGCTCCAGTGTCTGACACAGACTGAATGGTTAAGCCTGGTGCGTTAAGTCAGACCTTCTCAATGAGGTCAATACCACCCCATAGGGAGTGTTTTGCACAAGTGTGGTGGTTTTTGGGTCATCACTATAATTTGGGGCTATAACTGGCATTTAGTAATTCACAATACAGTTTTGCAAAGTGAAAAGTTATGTCCCACATAACTTTTGGATGTCCTGTCTGACATTTGTGTAAAGAAAACTTTTTGTAATTATTTGATCCCAGAACCTAAATCCATTTTATATATAAACACAAAAATATTTTTGCACAGTTTCATTTTGCACCAAATTTCCAGAAATGTAATTATTGTGTAAGCTGTGGGAAGACTGCACTTTGTTTGGTTTAGAAATATTTGTTTTGAGTCTTTCCACCAGTTTGGAAATTCATGCTGCAGATGGCGATGCTGCTATTGGCATGTGGGTTGCAAAAGCAACCCACTCATATTTGTTTAAATGTATACTTGTTATTCAGTACCATTCCACATATAAAAAGTATCTATTTTATTACGTGACTTTGTGTAGCAGTGTTAGCGTATGTACATATGCGAACATACACTATTTTATGTACTTTCCTTTTCCTTTTCATTGCCTTCAGGATATTACAGTGATTTTTTGAAATTACATTATGGGTACGTTATAGCATAGATGATGTTCACTTCAGGTGGGAAAGGACGCATTACAAAATATTGGCTATGAAAAGGGGCACAGACGTCTGTAATCCTCTTACTTTGGGAGTCTGAGGTAGGTGGATCAGGAGTTTGAGACCAGGAGGTCAGGAATTTGAGACCAGCCTGGCAAACATGGTGAAACCCCGTCTCTACTAAAAATACAAAAATTACACTTTATTGACAGCTCCTCAAGAAGCCGGAACTCCTCAAGATATGTCCTTAGCTCTCTACACCTCCAGTGATGCTGGTACACGGCCTGGCACATACCCTTGCCAACTAACTCCTTTTGCAATGGATGTGATGTGGATTTCAATAGAGGCCACTCAGTGAAATGCACAATTCACTAGGTGATTCAGTTACTGTAATTACTCTCCAAGTCAACCCTTTCACAAACAATCATGATAGAATTATGAATGAATAATGGAATTAGTATGATTTTACTTGTGTATCTACCACAGAGTTCAGTTAAATTAGCTTTTCTAAAAAGTGATTTATAATCTCTAAAAAGAATCTAAAAGGGATCAAACGTCCCATTTATCACAGAAAAATCTCTTTAATAAAGAAACCTTCAACCTCCACATTCCAAGGCTTGTTCTTTGATCTGCCAGTTTACTGGTAGCTGGAAACATTGCCAATAGAAGGAAATTGCTTTTCCAAGGGGGAAAGCAAGAATAGTTCTGAACAGAATTTATTTGAAAAAAAAAGGTATTTATTTTGAAGCAAGAAAATAACTCCTTGTTTTTGATATTGCAGTTTCTGGCCTAAATGAATTGCAAAAATTCAGACAATGACAAGCTATTTTAATGACATTATCAAGTCACACTCCATAAAAATGGATGTTGAGAGTAAATCCAATCAACTCTCCTAGCAAAGCCATCCTCAAAATATTCTTGAAATTGTAATTTTATATGCAAATCCATTGTTTTTAATTTTTAAGGAAAAGAAATTCCATAGTGCCTATGCCTATTTGGAATTACTCCAAGGGGGGAAGAAAATGGGAGGTAAATTTGTTTACAATTTATGTCAGGCACAGTGCTAAACACTCTAGTACACATAATATTAATCCTCAAAGCTGCCTTTCATGGGAGGTACTATTATGTGAGTTAAAGAAAAATAGATGAAGTGATGAGGAATTGGGGAGATTAGGAAACTAGTCTGACAGCAAAATTGGGTTTGAGTCCCCATACTGTCTGTCTCTAAACCTTATTACCTTTCTGTTAGACCAGGGGAGCTCTTGAACAGCTCTGAATTCAGCTTTAGGCCTGCTCTAGTCATTTCGGTCTCTCCCCACCATTTTTTTTTTAAAGTGTCTCACTCTGTTGCCCAGGCTGGAGTGTAATGGCACAATCACAGCTCACTGCAGCCTCTACCTCCTCGGTTCAGGGGATCCTCCCACCTCACTCTTGAAAAACTGGGATCATAGGTGCTAACCACCACACCCAGATACTTTTTTTGTATTTTCCATAGAGAGGGGGTCTCACTGTGTTGCCAGGGCTGGTCTCAAACTTCTGAGCTCAAGCAATCTGCCTACCTCTGCCTCCCAAAGTGCTGGGATTACAGGTGTTAGTCACGACACCCAGCAGGCCAGATCTCATTTTAAGAAAGGAGAATTTAACCTGAATTGATATTCCTTGTTACCTTTAGTCGTTCATGAACTCCTCTGATCCAGCTTCTGTGCCAATACTTTCTTAAAATGGTTGTCATCCAAAGGAACGAGGCTGTTCTTCATCTTTACCTTTCTTGGCCTCTACTTTACAATTTAATAATATTGACCACCCTTGCTTTGTAAAAGAATCCCGCTGCCTCTTGACTTCAGGGATACTACACTATTCCTGGTCTTCACATTTATTTTTTCATGATGCATCTGTTTCTTTTTCTGCCCCTTTTGCCCTCTCCAACTGCCTCCCTGGGTACCTTTCCTGGAGCTGAGAGCCTGACTCTCTGGAATCCATGCTGACTTCCTCTAAGAAAGCATCCTTTCTCCTGCTGGAAGGAAGGCTCTTTGCTGCGTCCTCTCTATTCAAGGAGTTGTCTTCCCACTGGAACTCCATTCTATTCTCTGCCCACTGCAGTCTCATTTGTCTGTCTTGCTCTCACCAAAACCACACTGCTATTTTTCTGGTCTCTCAGCCTTAGCCCTTTTCATAGTAAAAGCATAAGCATATCTTAAGTACTCAAATGGGTATTCCCTCCACAAATTTTCCTTCCTTTTCTTTTAAAACAATTTTCTCTTAAGTTTATGACAGTCCTAGAACTTAAGTTTCTCTTGCACCTCTCTTGCCATCTCCACCATGGCTGCACCCCGATCCGGGTCTAAGAGTGGCCTCCTCACCTAGGAGTGACCTCTCCCTGGAGCCCTCCCAGCCTCCTCTCCTTCTAGTTCCCACACTGCTGATTTCAGATTAGTCTTCTCTAGCTACTGCTCTCATCACATCACTCATTGGAAAACCTTCAACAACTCCTTATTTTCAGTCACACAAAGTCTAAAGTCATTAGTTTGACTTTCAGGATCCTTTGTAATCTCAGTATTTCTCTACTTATGCCATCTTATTTCTTGCTACTCTTTAGCACTATTCTGCTTCAATTCAGCCAGCCTCTTTACTCTGTCGAGAACACACACATATCAAGTTCAGCGCCTTTTTGAAAATGTTCACCTTGCCTGAATTCTCTCCTGACTTGAGTAAGCTTTCCCTCACTCTATCATGTCTTTCTTGATCATGCCAGAGTTTCATGAACTTTCTTTCCTTTTAAGCTTGCACATTGCTTCAAGCCTACATCAAATGCATTCCTTAGCGATTAAATGCTTACTATCCTGAGCTGCACACTCTTAATTTGCATGTGCCATCCCATAATTTTCCAATCAGACTTAAGCTCCTCATAAATGGAAATCTTGTCAGACTTTTTCCCCTGAGAGTGCAGTAGTAAATGTTGATTGATGCTACTTAACTTGCAATCTGAACCTATATAACCTGATAGGTATAATAATTTAATATTAAAGAGTCTTAACAATTGAACAGAAGTTTCTTGATTTACTTTTTTAGTTTTATTTTTATTTTTTGAGACGGAGTGTTGCTCTGTCACCCAGGCTGGAGTGCAGTGGCAAGCTATCAGCTCACTGCAACCTCTGCCTCCCGAGCTCAAGGGATTCTCCTGACTTAGCCTCCCTAGTAGCTAGGATTACAGGTGCCCACCACCAGGCCCAGCTAATTTTTTTGTATTTTTAGTACAGACGGGGGGGTTTCACCATATTGGCCAGGCTGGTCTTGAACTCCTGGCCTCAAGTGACTCGCCCACCTCGGCCTCCCAAAATGTGGGGATTACAGGCATGAGCCACCGTGCCCAGCCTTAATTTACTTTTAATGTGATTTCAGAACCATTTGACTATCTAAACATAATATGATAAGCAAATCTATAAGCCTAAGAAATAGACAAATTAAGAGGTGATTATTTGTGTCACTGACATTGTTTATTTTAGGATTTGCCAAAGCTCCTTTGAGTATCTCTCTCCAGAAAATCGACCTTCCCATAGATCATCTCTTGCAAGACATTGATGAATAGATGATTTTAATGCTAATGTTAGAAGCCAGTCACACAAAATATTTGAGTCACCCATATTAAAGATTAATTTGATATGAAGGTAGGGCATCTATAATATTAAATGTTGCATCATTGAAGAATAGGTCATTTTAAAAAGCAGTAGTACCTGTACTCACAATTTTCAGAACTTCCTGTAATGATATAAACTGGAATACACTATATTAGAGTCTGGAATACACTATATTAGGCTCAGTTAAAAAATAAAATAGCCTTACCTTTACATGATCATAAAGGCATCTTTGCCGAGTACTTGCTGCCTCCAGAGCAAACGTATTGAAGGTGAGGTGAATTAGTTTGTTTATAGGTGGAATTATGATCCATACACAGTTTAAATTCTTGTCATATATTCCATTCGAATCAGAATCAGGAAAGGCAAAGATGTTATTTGAACCTGTCATATAACCACCACATCCTTGCTGAGGCCCTGTGTTAAAACAAAGACACATCACTATGCAGACCAAACAGAACAGACCTTACATTGTACATGGAGGGTTTTTAAAAGAACATAGTTTCCATTTTCTGTCACACTCTGAGAACATGATCAGATCATTCTCTCCTGGGCTCCCTCCTTTCCTCCCTCTCTCTCTCCCTTCTTTTTCTCCTTCCTTACCCCCACCCCGCCATCCTTCCCTGCCTCGCTCTATCCCTCCCTCCCTTGCTCTTTGCTTTGACAGCAGAGTCTTCAGTTCTCCTTCTTACTCATAGAGCTGCTGAGTGGGAAAACACACGGGGTTCTATATATGTTTTTGGAACTGCTGATGTGATTTATTGAAGATTTTCCTAGCCTTGAAAAATCCAATTTTGTACAAAATCAAGTATTTTGCATAATAAAACTGGTGGAAAATGTTCATATGTTTTACTTTTATATTCCGCTTTTATGAACACTGTCAAACTGAAAACTGAATTTATGAAGAATTTACCCAACACACCAAGAAAATTGCTGCCAACAAATCTTTTATTTACATAGTGTGATTGAAAGAGGCTGAGTGGCATTTAACACTGCAGTCCTGTTTATATTCAGCCGCATTCTATATTTAACTTTTTCTTTTCCAAAACATGAGAAGTTAAAGAAAAAAATCTTTATGGAAGAAAAGGCCTTCTTTGAGATCAAAATTTTATAATTCAGAATAAAAATACAAAGGAGAGATAAATAATTATCTCAAGATAATTAAATGGTCTACCATAAAAACATACAAAAAACAATTCTCAGAACATAGGATTTCGTTTTGTCTACTCCATGGCCTAAGCAGATAGCTCAGAAATGATTTGAGAAGAGCTTAAAGGGATGAACAATTTATTGACAATTTTATAAGAAATGGTGAGGATAAAATAAGCTCAAAATAGCCCTAGTAGGAATAAGAATTAAATAGGTACTGAAAGTAATGTCTGTAAACCTTGCATTCTACACAAATACAGGTCATTGCTAGTTCCAAAGTTAAACTTCACTGGGATTGGCCTTCAGTCTATTTTTCTTATTCCAGTTTTTGCTCACAGTGAAAGCACTGCTTTCAACATCAGGGAGTGCTAAGATTTTGTACTTGGACCCTGGCAGGAAACATAAACAATGGTGGCTCTCCTCAACTCTGACTGTAAATCCAATGGATAGCAAATGGCCAGGATGATTTTTGTTACAGGTACATTACTTAGTAGGTCAGGCTAGCCCTGTCCATGGCTTCTAAGTCAGGCGAAACCATAGAGTATTTGCACATTTCCCAAAGTTGAAATGCTTCCAAAGGCCCAGTCCGTGATAGATTTATTCACAGATGGCATCTAGGACAAAATTATTCTGAAATGTAAGCAATACACACTGATGAACCACATGTTGCTAATGATTCTGCTCATCTGAAATAGGCCTGCAAACTAAAGAGAGAGTTGGAATTTGTGAAGTTTGAATAGCTTTGATTTCAGTGTGAACTGATTGTTACTTAAGGAAACCACTTAAACTTATTGGCATTCAGAGTACAGAAGAACAATGACTGAGGGTATGAATGGATTGGTAAATTTATTTATTACATATTGTTTTAATATTCAAGGAAGTATATTTAGTATTTAAGTAGAAAAAGATCAATGATAGTCCATCAGTAGTGATAAGGCATAGATAAACAATGATGACACAATTTAGAAAATGATAGGTTCAGTAAAAGAGGCAGAAAACTCTTATAGCTTTAGAAAAAGGTGAAGATTACTTTGGGCTACGAGGATCTCGACTGTTCCAAGGAGGAGGTGACTTGGATCTGGGTCTTGAAGCATAAATAGAATAAAACCATGTAAAAATGGAACTGGTATTGGCAATTCCAGCCTGAAGAAATCTCATGATCCAAGTTTAAATGGGCAAGAATTTACATTGTATGCATGGGCAAGCGTAACCCTGAGAAAACAATAGGGCACATGAAGGAGAATAATGAGAACTAGGTTTTGGAAAACAGGATGAGGTCTTCTATAGAGGGCCTCAAATGCCGGATTATATAGAGTTTGGCTGTTAGACTATGTTGTGTGGCTAATGGGATCCATTTGAAAGATTTTTAATCAGAGAAGTGGTAGAATCAGGATGTACTTGCTAATCAAGTCTGATCTAAAAATTTATCCAGAACCAGCATTTTACATGTAAGGGAATGGGACTGAAGGAGATGAGACCAGGTAAAAGGACATTGCTGTGGCGAGGGCTGCAAGTAGGAGCGCTGAAGAGTTGGAGGTAGGTAGACAGGAAAATGGTGTTACTGGGCATTATTCTAATAATACATCAGCTTCAAAAACTAAATGTTATTTTATCACTACTTGTTTATTAATTGTTACTAATAAGTTCATAATGGCAAAATGGCAATTGTACTTGGGCACAGTGAATGACATTACACACACTTATTATGTAGTGCTACTACTATGACTAATGCCATAAGGCACACACCCTCATTCCAGGGAACCCCAGAACAAGAATCACTGATGTGTTCGCCATGGATTGAGTGGTAGATTGACTGATCCTTCCTTCCTTCCTTCCCTCCTTCCTTCCTTCCTCCCCCACTCCTTCTTTCTTCTTCATTTCCTTTCCTTTTCTCTTTCTCTTTCTCCCTCTCTCTTTCTTTCTTTCTTTCCTTTCTTCTTTCTTTTCCTTCCTTCTTTCTCTTTCTTTCTTTCTTCCTTTCTTTCTTCTTCCTTCCTTTCTTTCTCTCTTTCTTCCTTTCTTTCTTTCTTTCTTTCTTTCTTTCTTTCTTTCTTTCTTTCTTTCTTTCTTTCTTTCTTTCTCTCTTTCTTCCTTTCCTTCTTTCTTTCTTAATTTCTTTCTTTCGTTCTTTCTTGTTTTCTTACTTGCTTTCTTTCTCTCTCTCTCTTTCTTTTTTTCTTTCTTCTTTTTTTCTTTTCTTTCTTTCTTCTAGATGAAGACTTTCTATGTTTTCCAGGCTGTTCTCGTATTCTTGGGGTCAAGGAATCCTTCCACTGCAGCCTCTTGAGTAGCTGGGATTGCAGGTACATGCCACCATGCCCAGTTTAATTGGCTGATTTTTAATTCTTCAGTCCCTCTGTCTTCAGTCTCTCTCTTTGCACTGCACTAAAATGGATACAGTATATTTTTCTGTGCACTTGATGTTAGGCTTTGGCTATACGACTTGCTTTAGACAGTGAGTATTAGTGGTCATGAAGCAGGCAGAGGCCTTAAACATGCTTATGTTTTGTTCTTGTTTTTATTTTTGTCTAGGACTTTGTGCTCCCGTGATCTGCTAAGATATCATGCCCTGAATAACTGCTGGTTCAAAGAAAAAGTGGATTCATGTGGAGCAGACTTGAACCTGGACTCAACTTTACAGCCAATTACAGCCAACCTACAGCCTGGAACAGTGGCAGGCAAGCTAGTCCGTGGACCTGTAAGTGATAAAAACAAATGTTCATTATAAGACACTGAATTTTGGATGGTTTATTATGCAGCACTGTCAGGGTAATAGCAGACTAATACACACACTAATATTAATAGCTGGTTTGAGCTATGAAATTATAATAGAGCTTAACGCTCAATTCATAAAATATACACACAGAATAAAGAAAATGGAGAAAAAATTATCATCAGATAATCCTGGCCAAAACAGTCAAATATTTGAAGTGAATATCATATTACATGAGTGAACAGGTATTTGTGTAGTGCAGGAAATAGCAATTGCTCTAATTCTTCCACTTTAGTGCTTAAACATAGCACAACTGCTCTATGTAGAATGAAATGTAAGTGTATATGTCTAAATCTAACGATCAATATTAACAAAAGAAGGGTTCTTTCCCAAAAGTAGCTATTGCCACGTTACTCTTTCTGTGTTTCAATGGTAGAGGAATATAAACAAGGGCGACTTCTGTGACTCTGAAATGAAGTCCTATGCATTAGAAGGTCATATATATTTACTATACTGATATTTTGAAATTGCCTTTCTTTAATGTATAAGCCATCTTAACCTTGATATGTTTAGCATCATGAATTCATCATTTCCTCATTACTACACATTTTTGAACCCCCCAGACGACTCTCATCCATCAGCACCTGCCTCATCAGGCAGGTGTGTCAGTCATTCTCTGATGATACACCCTGTGTCCAAGAACAAATGTCACTCTAACTTTCTTTCCTAAATTGGAAATATCTCTGTCACACAAAAGAGCCATTTCTTCAGAGAAAATAAATGTTTTGGCTAGAGAAATATTGGAAGCATAACCCCATAATAAGCAGTGAGATCCAGGTCTAAATCTACTTACTTAAAAGTCAGTAACTGAATCCTGAAGTATTACCTTCCAATGACTAAACCTCAGAGCGAAGCTCAAGCCAGGATCAATCTGATAAGGGAAAAAATAGTTGCATTCTCTAGAGCAAAACATCTTGAAGGCTTCCGTGGAGTTAGATACATTTTTAAATTGTTATTTGGAGAACTGACATTTTTGTGGCTCACATTCCATGTGGCTGACATTTTATTGAGGTTGTCTAGATAGCATCTCTGCCTGTCTCTGGACGAACACTGCTGAGAAGGTGCACAGCAAGCTGTACAGGCAGATACTTACTGCCTTGACAGGCACTTTCCTATTTCCAGCAAGCCATCTGTGGCTTTAGGCTGCAGGTGAAGGAGGTTTTACTGGAAACTAGAGGAAGCAGAATCCAAAGGTATTTAAAGCTGGTGCCTTAGGGAAATGCGAGCACACCTAGACAGCCTCGTTTCTATCACACAGGGATTCAGGGCTAGAACAGCATTATCCTTTTTTGGAATCAGACTTACTGTGGTTTTTAAAGCTGCAGATACACAATTGCCCCAAAGCAGTGTATTCATGTAAAAACATTCAACTAGGTTTCAGATGATCCTGTTTTGTCTTTTTTTCTAAAAGTAAACAGTGTTTATTATTTTACTCCCTAACCTCTGGTTATGTATAATATTTATGTTACACAGGAAACATAAGTATAATATTTACATTATACAGGAAAAATTAGTAGTTTTTGCAATGAGATTTTTTAATTGTTTTGTTTGTTTTTAGTAGCTTCACTCAATTTGACTCACTTTAATTATCCTAATTTGAAACCTAGCCTAAATTAAAATGTGTTTTTAGTTTGGTAATAGTTAGGATCATAAAACTAAAAGAATGGTAATTTACTAAAAGAAAGTTAATTTCAGCAAGCTAATTAGTAGCTATAGTTAATAGAAAAAGAGCAATACCGTACAAAGAACTTAGAAGAAGAAAAATTTTATCATTACCCTTTAATTTATCTTGCATTATTTAGATATCACTGAAAATGCTCTATGTATACATCATTAGTCCCAGGGCATTTTATGAGAATCATTCTTTCCAACTTGGAAATTTAAAAAATAATTTACTAAGCAAAATGATATGATCATGTCAGTTGATGCTGAAAAAGGATTTGACAAAATCCAACGCACAATCATGATAAAAACTCTTGGCAAACTAGGAATAGAAGAGAAATTTCTTGACTTGATAAAAACTACCTGCAAAAATCTACAGCTAACAGCATACTTAATGGTGAAATACTAAATGCTTTCTCCCTAAGATCCGGAACAAGGCAATGATATTTATTTCACACCCCTCTAACTCAACATAGTATTAGAATTCTTACCAGAATAAAGCAAGGAAAAATATAGAGAGAGACCGGAAAGGAAGAAATAAAATGCCACTTTTACAAGTTTAACTGTTATCTGCAGAAAATCCTAAGGAAGATAGAAAAATATTCTTAGAACAAATATGTGAGTTCAGCAAGAACTCAGGATAAAGGAACAATACACAAAAATCAATCGAATTTTAATATACTAACCGTTAACATGTAGAGACCAAAATTAAAAACAACACCATTTATAATCATTCCAAAAAATGAAATATTTAGGTATATACTTAATGAAGCATATACAGGCTTATGTGATGAAAATTACAAAATAATGAAATAAATAAAAGAAGGCCTAAATAAGTCTAGATACATACATGCTCATGGACTGGAAAACTCAACATAGTAAAGACATCAATTTTCCCCAAATTGATACATAGATTTAAAGCAATTTCTATACAAATCTTAGCAAGGTTTTTCTGCAAACATAGCTTAATTTATTTTTATTTTTTTATTTTTTAGGATGGGGTCTTGTTCTGTCACCCAGGCTGGAATGCAGTGGTGTGATCACAGTTCACTGCAACTTTGAACTCCTGGACTCAAGGGATCCTCTTGCCTCAGTCTCCCAGTTAACTAGGACCACAGGCGAGTGCCACCATGCCCAGCTAATTTTGTTATTTTTGGTGAAGACAGTCTTGCTATATTGCCCAAGCTAGTCTCAAACTCCTGGTGTCAAGGGATCCTCCCACCTTGACCTCCCAAAGCTCTGGGATTACAGGCATGAGACACTGCACCCAGCCTTTATTTTAAAGTTTATGTGGAAAGGCACAGTCCTTCAAATAGCTGAAACAATCTTCACAAAGAAAAATTAAGTGGGAGGAATCACTCCACCTGAAATTGAGGCTTACCATGTAGCTATAGCAATCAAGACGGTGTGATATTGGTGAGGAGTTAGACACATAATGGAATGGAATAGAGAACCGAGAAACAGACTCACACAAATATGCCCAACTGATTTTTTTCAAAGGTGCCAAAGCAATTCAATGAAGGAAGGACAGCCTTTTCAACCAATGATGCTAGAGCAATTGAACATCCAGAGGCAAAAAATTGACTTCCACCTAAATCTCATATCTAAACCAAAATGAACTCAAAATGGATCATAGAAACAAATGAAAAATGTAAAATCACAAAACTTTTAGAAGAAAACAGCAGAAAAATCTCTGGGACCTTGGGGTAGGCAAAGAATTATTACATTTGGCACCAAAAACTTAATCTATAAAAGAAAAAGTCAATAAATTGGACGTCAAAATTAAAAATTTTTGTTCAGTGGAACACCAATATAAGGCAAGAAAATGAAAAGGCAAGACATAGACTGGGAAATAACATTTGCAAACCACATACTGACAAAGGATCATTATTAAGAATAGATAAAAATCTCTCAAAACCCAGCAGTAGGAAAATACACAATTAGAAAATGAGCAAAAGATATAAATATATATTTCACCAGAGAATGGATATACGGATGACAAAAAGGCACATGAAATTCTTCACCATTAGGGAAACACAAATTAAAACCACATGAGATGTTAATACACACCTACCAGAATGGCTAAAATAAAATTAAATAACAACAACCGCAACAATAACAGTACTCTACAATGAGATGACCGGGGGAGGGATAGAGGGTTCCCAGGTATAGAAAGCAATGACTTCCTAATCAAAATAATACAAGCCAGAGCATGATGGAATAGCATTGTAACGTCCTGAAAGAACATAAACTCCAAATTGGAACTCTATATTCAGAGAAAGAATCCAACAAAATTTAAGAAAATCAAGTCACTTTTGAAAAACAAAAACAAAGAACACATTTTACCAGAAGATCTCCAATAAAAGAAACATAAAAGAGAGGTGTTCCAAAAGAAATAAATTGATCTCACATGGAAGTATAGAATTTCAGGAAGAAAAGAAAAAATAATAG